CCCAGGTGCCCCAAAAATGAAAATTATCTTATATCCAGTCACCCAGAGAGAACTCTTGTTAACATTTTGATGTGTACCTTTCCATATTTTTTTCTCTGCACATACAAAAATGTGGTCATGTTATACACGATGTTTTATAAAATTTTAAAAATTCAACTTAACATATCATGGGCATCTTTCCTTTAAAATAAATACTGATCTTTGTTATTGTTTTTAAACCTGCAGAGCAACATCCCATTGTATGGTTGTATTGTGATTTGTTTAATCAACTCTCTGTTGATGATAATCATTTACATGGCTTCCAGGATTTTAGTGTTATGAATAACACTGTGACGAACATATCTGTTTATACAACTTTGTAGACTTTTCCAGTTATTTCCTTAGGATAAATTCACAGAGGTAAAATTGCTGGATACAAGAGTTTGCATATAAAGAAACTCAATATATATTGCCAAATTACCCTCTGGACAGGCTGATCTTATTTGTTGTACTATGTCACTGCATGAGAGATTGTTGCTCCACACATTACCAATACCAGCAGTTAGCAATCTTAAAATTTTACCTATCTATTGAGCAAAAATTATATTCATTGTTTCATTACAATGATTACTTGATAGGGAAACATTGATCAAATTCTTTTTTTTAAAGATGTATTTATTTGAGAGAGCGAGAGAGCGCACACGCACACTTGCACACAAGCAGGGGGAGTGGTAGGGGGAGAGGGAGAGAGAGAATCTCAAGCAGACCTCCCACTGAGTGCAGAGCCCAGTGCTGGTCTCAATCCCAGGACCCCAAGATCATGATCCCAGCCAAAACCAAGAGTCCGATGCTTAACCAACTGAGCCACCCAGGCACCCCTCATTGATCAAATTCTTAGAGGAAATTTCACTTGAGTCTTAGAGGCTACTAAGATTCAGTCCCACATTAGGGAAGTAACAAGTGACCTGAATCTATAATGGCTCAGGTAACATTCTGCTTATTATTTTTTAGGCAGTTTGTTCTTGAGGTCTATAGTTAAATTACTAGCTGTTTTGATTTTCATTTTCCCTTTTGGTCCCACATATCCAAGATTACCTTGAGAAGAATTTGGAAAGATCATGAAGAGTTTATTCATTACCCTTCCATTCCCCCTCACCTCAGAGTGAAACAGCATGAAACAGGTCTAACACCTCAGTGTACCACTGTGACCACATCACCCTTCTTTGCATCCTCAAATTGCCTGCTTGAAGGACCTTTATTCCCTTCTCTCTCTAAAACTGTCTCTTACTCATCCAGCAGTAACCTTATCTCTTTTTTCCCCTTCCTTTGAGTTTGATTCAGTTCCTCTTCTTCCCCCAAAGCAAGACTGACCCTGCATTTCATGTTATTCATTAGAAAACCTGATGAGGTTGGTCAATATTGTTAGAAGGCATGCGAGAGGCAGAGCATGCTATGATGTGTCTGAAACTGCTTTAATAAGTATGATGTGATCTAGGAGGATGATTTAATGTTCTAATTATACTTGCAGAAATTGAGGATCAAAACTTCACAGAATCTAGTAAGAGATGAGGTCAGAATTGCAATCCAAGTCCCTCTGATTTGAAAGCTCATGGTTTTCATTATACCATGTCCTCACTAGTGCCTGTTTGTGATGGTTTAAATGGAGAAGAAATCATAGAAATGGCAAAGCCCAAGTTCCCCCATTTGGTCATTCCCCTTGACTTTATTCCAGTTCTCCTAGCTCCTAGTCCCCCATTCCTCTCTGCCCCCAAAACCCCACACACATTCTTTAATTAAAGGGTTGACCACTATAGTTAGGGCCAACTTTCCTGGGCTAATGGTAGTAGCACTAATTTCAAATCACGGAATATGTCTAATCAGGCAGACATAATATTCATTACAGTATGTAATCAAGCCATTTTCAATCAAGACTATGCGGTTAGGTCACTAACATTTAACTCACTGGCATGTGTTGGTTTGCGACTAGAAACAATGGCTTTGAGAGCGGAGGGAAGAACAGGGATTTTTCACACAGCCCCCACAATTCTATCCTAAAGACTCTGGGAAGAATAGTTGATTATGTATTAGGTTACTTTATAAGTGGGGTGGCTCCAGAAATGAACTCATGTTATCAGGTGTGAGGAAGATTAATCTTAATGTTTTCACTTGAGAATTATGTGGGTTAAGGATAAGCTAAAATCATGCTGGACATTAACAGATCTTTTGGATTGGTGAATGAAGTGGTATTACACTTACTGGCATTGAATGACTGTTGAAAGCATTTACTTTCGGTATCATCTTCAAGGGAGTGTTAACAGGCTAGACTCTCCTTTAGCCCTGATCCTTACTTTTTTTTTTTTTTTTTTAAGATTTTATTTATTTGACAGAGAGAGCACAAGCAGAGGGAGAGAGAGGGAGAAGCAGGCTCCCTGCTGAGCAAGGAGCCCAATGTGGGACTCGATCCCAGGACCCTGGGATCATGACCCGGGCTGAAAGCAGCCGCTTAACCGAGGCCACCCAGGCGTCCCTGATCCTTACTTTTTGAACATTACTCTTTGCACTCTTTGGTTTTGCTCCTAGGTAACAGAAATTAGGGACACCTGCTAAGTCCTTGCTTGGACTATTAGAAACCAATGAGATATACACCTACTCCATGGACTGTGAATCCACAAGATGCTATCCTACTACAGAAGACTCCCAAGCTCGATCCCAGGACCCTGGGATCATGACCTGAGCTGAAGACAGACGCTTACCTGACTGAGCCACCCAGATGCCCCTATGCTCAGTACTTTTAAAAAGAACTTTACAGGCATTAACTCATTTTATTCCCATAATAAAGCAATGAGTAGGGTACTATTATTAGACAGAAGCTCAGAGAGACTAACTTGCCTAAAGTCACACAGCTACAAAGCAGTAGATATAGGATCTGAACCAGCAGTCTCATTCTAGAACCTGTTCTCCTGGCCACCATGACAGGTATGGCACTGAGATAAAGAAGTCTGCTGGAGGAAGACCTGAGACCCCTGAAAGGTAAGAGTTCTTTTTCTTCCTGGGGAATGTTGTAATCTGCATATGATACTTGGAATTGCTGCGGCCATCTTGTGACCATAACAGAAGTTACAGCTCAGTATGGTGGAGTAGAAAGATGGAAGGCTCTCAAGTTTTTAAGGACATCCTAGAGTAACTGAGTTATCTAATCTTGGAACTGCTCTACCTTTGGAACTCTTCTCATGTGATATAATGAACTCAAAACTGTTTAATTTCCTTCCATTTGCTTTCCTGTTACTTGTATGGAAAACACTCTCCCTGATACACATGTACATAAGCATAATCCAACCAGAGACATACAATTCTTTCAGAGAGTCCACATACTTGCACCATGTGTAAGATTTTTCATTCAGTTAGCAAGTATTGAATATCTTCCATATGCCGGGTACAGTTCAAGTTGTTGAATCAAACAAGTTGGGAAAGGCAGGTTTCTACACCTATGGAGAATAATAATCTGGTGGTAAATGTGGTAATGAAAGTGGAGGCAGGCATATATAAGGAAGGTATCATGAGAACTAATCTAGACCAAGAGGTCAGAGAAGAATCAAGTGAATGCACATGTACCAGATGCAAAGAATCCATGCCATATCAGTATCATCCATTTGTATTTAATTTGTAATATATTTTGGTTTTAGTTGTATAAGACACAGTGTTATGTGTATAATAGTGTTGGGTGTATATATATTTAGGTGACTTTATAATACAATAATTATTTATTTTTAAAAGCAAATTCCTGATTTTTTTTTAAAGTTTATTTTTTTTTAGTTATCTCTACACCCAACGTGGGGCTTCTAACTCATGTCCCTGAGATCAAGAGTCACATGCTCCTCTGACTGAGCCAGCCAGGCGCCCCTATAATACAATAATTTAAATCAGCATGGAGGCCCAGAATATTTTTCCCTTTTAAATGTAAATACTGAAACCAATTTAGGAGAAGCAGACTAATATAAAAGATAAGCAAAGAAACAGGAACGGAAGCATTTGGTGTCTATTTGTAGCTCATTGGCTGGGAGCCTTCTTGTCACTTGAATTTCATAATTTGTAAAATACGATTCATAAGTGGTTGCAATGGAAAACTTTAGAGTTTTTAAATTAATGAAGAATAAAAATTTAAAATTCCTATACTGCTGTGAAAGTTCCAGAGATCATTCATAAGTTTAGCAAAGATAATGGGCAAAAGGAGGGGGTGGTACAGGACATGACACACAAGAAAAGAAGGCAGTGAAGGGGAAAATCAAGAGGCAGTGAAGTGCTTGGTAAACTCTACACAGCAGGAAACAGCACTGTGCATATTATGGCTGTTACTGAGTAAATACTTGCTGGAATTTCCAGAGATGACCAAACAAACATCAAGAAGGAAGTGGCTTTTTTGTTTTGTTTTATTATGGAAAATTTCTAACATGTACAAAAGTACTGAGAACAGTCATGAGAATTACCGCATCTTCAACAGTCATTACTCATAGCCAATCTTATTTCATTTATATCTCCATTATTCTGAAGCAAATTCCAGATATATTATTTCACCCCTAAATATGTCAGCATACATCTCTAAAGAAAAAGAATGGGAAACAAGGCATTTAGTGTCTACCTCACTCGGTGGCAGTCTTCTGCATCTTCAATTCTATAACTTGTAAAATATGATTTACAAGGAGTTACAACGGAATCTTTTTTTTAAGTAACCACGATAAAAAAAAAAGTAGGTGGTTAAATCCCCAAAAGGCTCTCCAGGATGGAAGCTCACCCCATAAATCCAGATCGGCGTTACATTCCCTAGAAGCCCAAGGAACAGCTCACGGCCGCTTCCTTTCAAGGTTGAGATGCCCAGCCACAGGCTGTGGGACCCAGCCTTTTATGGACCTGGCTGGTCTTCGCCCCGCCCCTCCCTGGGGAAGTCTCCGCCCACTAGGCCCCAGCAGCCCCCGCGAGCCTTCGCGCGCCCCCGCCGCCTCGTCCTAGGGAGGGACGCGCCGCCCTGGACTCCATAGGCCTGGGCTCGGGAGCGCGCACGCCGTGCGTCCCAGGCTCGCTCGGGATTCTCGCCCAGTGCCGCAGGGAAAGGCCAACAATTTGGTCCGCCATGTTCTTCTGCGCGGCGCTCCAGGCCAAGGCGGCTGGTCTCACCGCCCAGTGGGTAAGGAGGTTCGGAATAAGCCCGGGCACTGCCGCCGCCCTTTTCTCTTTCTCGGTGTCTCCTTTTGTGGTGGGCATACGAGAGCGCTGGGCTCTGGACGGCCTGCAGGCGGCGGCAAGGACGCTGCGGCCTTCGCCCTCTCCCAGCCAGGCAGGCCGCCACAGCTCCACTGCGAGCGAGGAGCTCCGAGGGAGGGTCGCAGACGTAGCTGCGGCGGGTGCGTGGCCTCCCCCACAGAACTGGGAAGTTTACGCCTAATGTGGTCAAGGAGAGGAAGAAGGAGGGGCCGCCCGGTGGTCTGTGTGTTGCTGTTTCGCCCTGTCGCGGAACAGAGGCCGGGCCGACGTCGGCCAGATAGGTTTCGAAGAACCCCCGCCCACAAAGGAGGCACCTTGCCTATCAGCCTGGTGACCTTGCTGTCAGGTTGCAGCGCATTGGAGAGGACTCTGAAATTGTAGGCTCTGGCTTGCGTGTTGAAAGCGTAGAGAGCGTTTCCTTAGGCGAAGAGGTGTTTGATGTAGTGAAGAGCGTATTTTGCATATCGGAAGAGTTCGGTAAATAATCGTATCGTACTAACTCTGTGAAAGAACACCACCACAAATAACTGCACCCAGAAGGATTTTAAGAGCATGAATGGGCTTCTGAGTTCCAAGTACATGAACTTGTTTTAGGCAAGGAAATTGAGTCTTGGGTCGAAACATTCATTCAAGTTAATTTAGAAATGGTGACTCCAGGAATGACGATTATAACAGCATTTACTGGAAAGAAGCTTTTTTTTTTCCTAGCAGTAAAATAGAAAGGTTGAGTCAGTTCTTAGCAGAAGACAGGGAAATAGTGCATAGTAGTATAGCATATTTCAGGGCTTTAGAGTTAGACCTGAATATGGTTGGTGGTTTCACTGCCTTTTCTAGCTTTGTCACACTGGGCTTTGATGTCTCTCACTTAGTTTTCTTGGTCATAAAATGGGAGGGATATTCCAGTTTGCAGAGTTTAGTCTTTCAATAAACATTTGAGGTCCTACTGCACTGCTGGTGGATAATAGTGATAGGTAACATTTGGTGAATACTTTCCATGTGCCAAGCACACATTGTTAAATGTTTACATTCTAAATCTCATTTGTGAGGTTGGTACTGTTATTTCCCCATATTACAGATAAAACAGATTTAGACAATCCCTGTTCTTGTGGAGTCGATAGTTTCATGTAAGAGAAACTTTGAGGTAAATATACAGTGTAAGAGTACAGTGTTAAGAGATACGAATAAGGTCAGTTTGGTTTCAAAGTGGTGTAAGATTTTTCCTGGAGGCGATACTAACAAATTGGTGATAAGGCCACATATATTAGGGAGGGAATATGATAGGTGGAAAGGACAACATAAGAAAAGTCTGTTGATAGTTGGCAGGGAAAAGCTTGGTGCATGTAAGAAGCCTCAAGCAGTGTTGCTGGACTCCATTATTGGAAGTAAGGTGAATCCAGAGATGAAATAAGACAGGTGGGCAGGGCCCGGATGTCGGAGCTCTTTGCATGCCATGTCAAAGAATTTGGCTTTATCTTAGAGGCAGTGCTGAGCCCGGAAGGATTTTAAAGGAGCAGAGAGACAGGTCAGTTTTCTCTCTATTGGATAGATGGCTGCATGGGAGTGAGGGAATACGTTTGATCAGAGCCAGAGGCAGAGAGACTAAATAGATAAGAGACTCTTGCAAAACCCCAGGTCAGAGGTGATGAGGATCAGACCTTGTCTACTAGTAGAAAGGATAGAAATAAGAGGACAGATAGATTTTAACTTCTTCAGTTTTTGAGGCAAAGGGTTATTAGAGGTATACATTGAAAAGCAGTTTAAACAATAGAATATATTCAGGTAGTGGAAGAAAATTTCAATCACGTCTTATGTTAGTTTCTGCAGCTGTTTTTTTCTTTGTAAAATATTACCTGAATCATATGTAGTATGAACCCCAGAAATACTTGTTGAATTGATGAATAAATCTAAGTTTTTGTTGTTTTTCATTTTTTTCTAGTTTTGAGCAATAATTGACAAATCTCAGAAGTTTAAAGTGTACAGCATGATGGTTTGATTGTAAGAAAAACATAATATTGGGAACAGCAAACAGAATAAGCTCAAAAGATAAAAATTACCCATAGTCTCATCAGCCTGGAAATGACCAAAATGTTAACATTTTTGTGTCTGCAATTAACAGGCCTGATGGGATTTTTTTTTTTGGTAAAATTGGATGGTATTGTTCACATTGTTTTGTAGGCTGTTTTTTCTTACAAAACATTTTTGATCCACTTTCCTTACCAGTAAACATTTCTGTACTGTCATTTTTAATGCTGTGTGGCATTCCATTGTGAGGATGTTCTATAACTTATATAACCAGGCCCTTCTAACCTTTTTTAAAATAGAATGCCAGAATGACCTAGGAAAAATCAGGAAAAGTGTAAGAGGTCCCACTAATAAAGTTCCTTTGCTAAAAGAGAAACCATTAAGGAAACCATTTACATTTTCAAAGAAATTGCTTATTTTGTTATAATTTCTGTTGTATTAGCTAACTGCCAATTTCTTTAGCTACCGACTTCAGTTTATCATTGCTTTAAAAATACCCATAACTTAGTACTGTCTAGAAGTGCCTTCAAGACAATAGTTGTGTGACCTTGAACCATATTTCTTAATTTCTTAAGTCTCATTTTTTTTCCTGTAAAGTACAATAATACCTTATTTAGTAATTATCAAGAATTGCCTAAAAAGTGAATTATGGAGCAGTAGATACACAGAATAGGCTTATTCTCTTCTTCAGTAATTTCCCATGGCTTTCTGTAGTGTTGACATCACTTTGCAGCTCATCACTGCCTCATTCCCAGGCCACTGCTTAGTTCAGTAGGAGTGAGGGAGTTGTGGTGTTTTTAAACATTGTATTTTCAGCTTTAGAATTTTGGTTCTTTTTTATAGTTTCTATTTGATTTTTTCATTTATTGAAGATATATATTTTTTTATGTCCTTAAGCATGGGTTCAGCAGTTTTGAAATTGTTGCGTGGTTGATTGTCTTTTTTTTCTGGAAAATGGGCTGTTCTGTTGTTGTTTTATGTTGAGTAATTTTGGATTTTATCCTGGACATTGTGAACGATACGTCATAGAAACTCTAGATTTTGTTATTCCTCCGTTGGTGTTTGTTTTTGTTGTGGCAGGCTGTTAACTCAATTGAACTCGAACTATAATCCAACTCCCTTTTGGGCAGCACCTCAAATACTGGTTCAGTTCTTTTAGCTGGGCTGCTTGGAGTTGGCCCCGTGTGTATGCATGGTTTGGGGTCAGGCACAGAACTTGGGGGCTTCCCTCTGGCTTTTCCTTTTCTTGGATTTCCCACTTTCCCATCATGCCTGTGGTTGTCCCAGACTGTCCTGTGATTCTTCAAGCCATTAAGGCTACAGGTTTTCTCTTAGAGTTTTAGCTGCCCAGCGCAGGATTGACAGGGGTCTGCCTTCAGGCTAAAATATGTAAAGTGTAAAGCAAAAAAACCTTCATTGGCTTCATCTAAGTATAGACTCCCCTTCTGTGTCTGTCTGCGTTTTGTTGTTCTCCAATGCCTTCGGAAAGTGTTTTGGGTTTTTTATTTTTTAAAAAATAGTTTGTCCAGGGGCGCCTGGGTGGCTCAGTTGGTTAAGCGACTGCCTTCGGCTCAGGTCATGATCCTGGAGTCCTGGGATCGAGTCCCACATCAGGCTCCCTGCTCAGCAGGGAGTCTGCTTCTGACCCTCCTCCCTCTCATGCTCTCTGTCTCTCATTCTCTCTCTCTCGCAAATAAATTTAAAAAAAATTAAAAAAAAAAAAAAGTTTGTCCAGAGTTTATAGTTGTTAGTGGTTTGGCCTGATAATATCTACTCAGTTGTTCTACAAGTGGAACCTCCTGTGGTGGCATTTTTCTTTCTAAATTTTAAGTTCTGTAGAATGAAATGTTTTCCCATTCCATTAGAGGTTCTTAAACCTGATTTTGCAGTGCCCCAGGGTATCCATTTTGGCTCAAGGACTCTAAAGGAGTTCTTTTTTTTTTTTTGAGCATTTATTTTAGTTTTCTATTGTTGCTCTAACATATTACCACAAACTTGGTGACATAACAGATTTATTATCTTACGATTCTGTAGGTTAAAAGTTTGACATGGGTCTCACTGGGCTAAAATCAAGGTGTTGGCAGAGCTATTGGAATACTGTAGGGGACAGTCTGTTTTCTTAGCTCTTCCCGCTTCTAGAAAAAGCTGCCCGTATGTGTTGGCTCATGGCCCCTTTCTTCCATCTTCATAGCCAGCAAGGGCAGGTTAAGCTCTCACATCACTGACTGTTTCCATCATTTGTGACATATCCTTTCTTTTGCTCCCTCTTCCACATTTAAAGGGCTCTATGATTGCCTTGAACCCACCCTGATAAGTCAGAATAGGAATCTCCCTATTTTAAGGTCAGCTGATTAGCAATCTTAATTCCATCTGCAGCCATAGTTCTCTTTTGCTATGAATATTAATATATTTACAATTTCTCTTTTGCTACGCATATTAATATATTTACAATTTCCCAGGATTAGGAAGTGGGTATTTTGGGGGCATCATTACTCCACCTGCCATGGCCTTAAATACTTAAGGGGAAAGAGAAAATGTACAAATTTTTAATTTATTCAGTGAGGTTCAGCAGGCCACTGTTGCACATTACAAATACAGATCTTTGTATTGGATATGTGAACTCAGTCTCCATTTCAAAGATATGAATAGCTGAACTTCCCTTCTCTTTGGCCACTGTTTAATATCAGCCCAGTACTTTGGGTAATAAATTATAGATTCATTGACCATGTCAAATAAATTATAGGTTCATTGACCATGTCAGTTTGGTTTTCCATTGAGAAACCTTGACTTACCCACCACTTTCAGGTCAGGAAACATAGTTGTAGGAAATTTTTTTCATTCAACAAACACTAAAGACAACATGTTTAAACACCTTTTTCTTTGCCTGGTTATTAGGAGGGA